GGATACCACATTACATTTAGTTGTCATGTCTTGTTAGGCTCCTCTTAGCTGTAACAGTTGACTCCTGCTTTTCACAAGGTGAATCCAGATACTTTCAGCAATAGAAGGATGCATCCTTGAGATCCACTGACATGTTTCATTGTTAGAAAGTTCACAGCCAGAGATGGAAATAGTGCTAAAGGGAAGGGATGTCTTCAAATATGCTCTCAATAGTCCCAAGAGCAAAACGATTGGAGAATATGATTTAAATTCAGATTAGAGAAGGAGAGAGGGGAGCCCCCTAAGACAGAAGGACCCCTGCTAGCCAACTTGAAGAGGTTGCCTCTGGCCAAAGATAAAGCAATTGAGATTCAGAAAGAATAATCATTCCAAAAGATTGACACTCATTTAACATAACATATGTGAGCTCATAGTATTTTTAATGTAGGTGGTCACCTGGAGAGTATGATAGAGAAATAATTCATTATCTTAAAAGGTGCTAAGTTAAGGAAAGAATGTTTCAGTCATCTTGCCTTCCCTATATGAAGGGTAGCACCAGCTAACCAAATTGTAGATGAGGGAAAGCTTCACTTCCTACAGTTTTTCAATAATTAAATAAGTAAGAAATTACAGAATTAGACTGTCACAATTTTTTCAGTCCCTAATGAATTAATGGCTTCTGACACTGATCACGAACATCAGTGGTGGCCAACAGCATGAAGGGAGGGAGGGAGAGGGAGAGAAAAAGACAGAGAGAGGAGGAGAAGAAAAGTGGGAAGGGGAGGGAGAAGGAGAGAAGGGAGAGAAAACCAGACATTATGTGCCTTCTGATGAAAGAACACACCACTGCCGATAGTCTTGCCAAATGGATTGGAAATGAGACTGATGAAACCGCTGATTCCAGCTGCCAACTCTCAGGAAATACCAAGTACAAAGGAACATGTTGAACTGCACCCTGAGTTTGCAATCAGCAAAATCCAGCCTGTGAGAAACTCTGCAGGTTACATGCCCCTCAATCTTATAGGGCTGTGGTGGTTCAGTCATCAAGTCACATCCGATTCTTACAACCCCATGGACTGTAGCCCACCAAGCTCCTCTGTCCATGGGATTCTCCAGGCAAGAATACTAGAGTGGGTAGCCATTCCATTCTCCAGGGTATCTTCCTGATCCAGGGATTAAATCTGGGTCTCCTGCATTGCAGGCAGATTCTTTACCAATTGAGCTATGAGGGAAGCTTGTCTTAGAGGGCTAGGACTGTGAATCTAATGTTAAAAACCAATGTTTTTAACAAATGGCAAGATGAAACTATAAAGACCAGGAATACACAATCAGGTGATAGAACTAGAAACATCAGAAAGTGATAACTTTAAAAGTCAAGGAAGTACTTACTTTCAAGAGACAGGAAAGTTAAGAGGGTGCAGAGGGGCTTCTGCGGGACTGGCAAAGCTATTTCATGAAGTGAGTAGTGATTAAGAAATCACAAACCTATACCTTTATTTCATGTGGCTTTCCATTTTTGTTTTATAATTTTTTTTAAGTGGAGGAGAAGAGAGGCCTTAATTAAATGGCCTTCCCTCTCTCCCAGAATTTCCATTCATTGCAAGGATGGTTTCCGACCCTTGGAGGTCCTGAATACTATCTGGAGTCTTCTGAGAACAGTTCAAATTTCCAGTATATTTTTTAACATGGAGTGCATTGCAGTGAATTCCTTATATCAAGAAGTGGTGATTCCAAGTATAGTGAGTTACAAAGCAAATGGCAACCAAGGTCTTCACTCTGCCTCTCGTGGATGGCATGATCTGGCAGCCATGTGAGGAATGCGAGTTCTGAGAAGTCACAATTTTTCCGAGTCTTCTCTCTCTTCCTCACACACAGACCACAAGAACTGTTTGCTAACTGAAAAAATGACAAAATGTCATAGCTAGAAAAGACCTCAGAATTTACCCAACCCAGTGTTATTAAAATGTGCCCCCCATTCCACTCCTGGGACCCACCTAATCAGCACCTCTGGGGCTCATCTAGAATGTGGCCCCAGACCCACTCCAGAGCTGCTGAAGGAGAGATGGACTCCACTTGACCAAAGCTCCCTAGCAACTCTGACACTTAGTGGAGTGTGACACCCATGGTTCTGGGGCTTCCCAGGTGGTGCTAGTGGTAAAGAGCACTCCTGTCAATGCAGGAGACATAAGAGATATAGGTTTGATCCCTGGGTTGGGAAGATCCCCTGGAGGAGGGCATGGCAACCCACTCCAGTGTTCTTGCCTGGAGAATCCCACGGACAGAGGAGCCTGGTCGGCTACAGTCCATAGGGTCACAAAGAGTCAGACGCAACTGAAACAATCTAGCGCACATGCACGGCACCCATGGGTCTAATCTAGCCCCCTCGTCCCTCCTCAGGGGAGGAAATGGAATCTGAAATAGGGAGTAGCTTGCCAAATTGTTGTGCAGCAGCAAATTGGCACCAAACCAGGACTAGAACCCCATTCTCCTATTCCTGCTTCCACACTCATCTCAGGTCATTCATTCATTCCTTCCCTCCATCAAAAGTGTAAGGCCCAGGAGGTACAACTGTGAGTGAAACAAACTTAGTCCCTTGCCTTTATGGCACTTACCAACTAGTAGGTGAGACCAATATTAAATTTTAAAATTCACATGATATGTAATTACAAAACATGATGTGTTCTAAGAGAAAGTGCAGAGGCACATCACCCCACCCCAAGGGAAAGGGCAGACTCCAGGAAGCAGTGACATGCAGATGCAAGGAGGAGGCAGACAGGGGTGGGAAGGCTTCCCAGCGGAGGGGAAGCCCTGAGGTTAGAGGGAATTAGGCTGAGTGGAAGGACCCAGAGAAGTCTAGGGTAACCGGAGGACACTTAGGGCTCTCGGCTGAAAGAACATGGAGGTGGCACTCTGGACTTTCCCAAGCACTCCTGGCATCGCCCTGTCGCCATCCGAATATTGGACAGCAGGACTGTACAACCAAATCACCTTGGGAAATTACTGTTCCTGCCCAAAACCATGATTTACCAGGACGGGTAAATCTCAGGAATTTTTTTTTTTTTTTTTAGTGTCTCCATTTATTCTGATATGCAACCAGGTTTGGGAACTTCCAGCTTAGGAGATTTGAAGAAAATGTAAACAATTGAGGTTAAGTGATGTGCTGGCTTTCAATTACTTCTCAGACCTTTAATGTGCTCATTTTTGTGGTGGGGAAAGAAATACTTGCTTCATGGGGTTGGAGCAGGGTTACAGCAGGTAATATTGCAAAGAACCAGCTTGGGCCTTGGTACCTTGGTACATGGTCACTATAAAGTGACTGCAATTAAATCCAGGCCTCTGGTTTCTAAGAGGGCTATTTTTAGAAGGAAGGATTATTTTTATCACACTGCAAAATGCTGGATTGGTTTTGGGAAACTCTTGCATTGCATACCCCGCTAAACCCAGAACAATTCCTGTCCCTTCCAGCCACCGACCACTGCCCCTCCCCAGTTCCAACGGAGAGCAGGAGATTTAGGGTCAAGGCTGTTTTAAGTCTCTACCCCACCCCCAGCCCCAGTAATGCTCTATTCCTAGCTGACCATATGGGTGAGTAATCTTTTCCCTAAATATAGACAGTGGGCATAGGCTCTGTCCAGATTGGATTTCACCTCTTGTTTTTAAGACTGTCAATCTGGCAACCAGCGCTTAGCTAAATTATCTTCTTAAAAAATCTTAAATGATGAGAGAAAAGCCTCAGGGGTATGAATTCCTGGCGACGGAATAGTTATGTGGCAAAATCTCCAGATCTCAAAAATTGAGCAAGAGATTTATTTGAACCACAACTATTATTCTTGCAAAATCAGAATCGACTCTTGGACTGTTTCAGCAGCAGGGCAACCACCAAGACCATGTAGCACAATGAAGAGAAATGGGGGCCCAGAGTTTGCTTCCAGATTTTGTCAAAGTTACATTCAGGTCTAATATCCAGCATCTTCCTTCTTTAAGGAGAGAATAAAACAGAGTATAAATTAAAAGAGACAAGGAGGATGTGATGATGGGGAAAGGGAGTGAAAAGCCGAAAGGGAAAATAGGAATGTCTGTGGCTGAGGTTTGCTTGTCACCTCTCTCACTGGACCACTGCTCCACACTCTCTCTGACTCCCTCAACATCTGTTGACAACTGAGGCTCCTCCACACTGAGCACATCTTCCAGGTCAGCTGCACCCCTAAGAATATGCCTAAGGAATAGGTCCCTTTCTTTATTCTCTCAAACACATTTGACACAAGACATTTGGATTCGGCAAACTTTACTGAAGATTTAGAGTGACAAAAGAGGATTACAATGACCATATGTGAAATAGATCTCCAGTCCAGGTCCAGTGCATGAGACAGGGCGCTCAGGGCTGGTGCACTGGGACAACCCTGAGGGATGGGATGGGGAGGGAGGTGGGAGGGGGGTTCAGGATGGGGGACACATGTACACCCATGGCTGATTCACATTAATGTATGGCAAAAACCACTACAGAACTGTAAAGTAGTTAGCCTCCAATTAAAATAAATAAGTTAATTTACAAAAACAAAGAGGATTACAATGCAGAAAAAGAAAACTTTAAAACTTGACGGTCAGAGTTCACCCATTGTCCCTAGAGACTGTCTGGCCCCCTACTGGCTGTCTCTCTTCTTGGTCCTATCCTGCTACCATATTACATTGCTTCTACCCACCAGGCGCCAGATTACCTCAAATGCTAATTGTTTCTATGTTCAGCCTCAGGAAGATGCTATCAAATTTAAACCAAGTTTTCCCACCAATCCCATATGCTTGGGTTAGCATCTTTCTCTTTCTGCCCTCTGGAAACTGCCTGTGGATTTCCTTTATTTCTAGGTCCATAGAACTCAGAATAGTCATATCTGACCTGCAAAAGGATGTGACTCCTTCTGTAGTCATTTTCACATCTGCCCCAGGCCTGGGGCTCAAGCAAGTCTGACTTTCTATGCAACTGGAAACTCAACAAGAGGACTCTTTATTCCAAACCAGCTTCCTCCATGTACCTCGAGGTAGGTATTGGAAACACGTCTAGCTTCAACATCAATTGATTCCTATTTTAAAAAGGAGTATACATGTATTTACCAAGTATATGTGTGGCTTCATTCCCTTTGTCCCTACTCTTGACTCTTGATGAGTGGAGGGTAGTGGTTTCTTGTTCAGGCAGGAAGCTAAATAGATTAAGTATTTGCCTTGCAGAATACTCCATCAGCAGATGGATATATGTCTAGATTTGGGGCAAATGGCAGCAAGCTTGATTATGATTGCAGGTCCATGCTACAGTATCTCTACCCTGGCTCTACTGACAATAAAGCTGTTAATTTTATCTCCAAAAAAAAAAAGAAACACCTCTAGGGTTTCTCAGGTGGCTCAGTGGTAAAGAATCCCCTTGTCAAAGCAGGAGACACAGGAGACATGGGTTCAACCCCTGGGTCAGGAACATCCCCTGGAGGAGGAAATGGCAACCCACCCCAGTATTCTTTCCTGAGAAATCCCATGGACAGAGGAGACTGGCAGTCTACAGTCCATGGGATCGCAAAGTGTTGGACAAGTCTAAGCACGCACACACTTGACATTAGAAACTCGTGTCAAGCATAAATCTCTCTTTTCAGCTGTCCATGTCCTACCTGCTGGAAGGATTTGGGGGAAAGATCAAAGGAGAAGGATAATTGTGTCCCTAAATTGTGACTTCTTCCTTAGTTGCCACTCGAGTGCCATCCCTCATTTGAACTGCATTGCCTCATTTGGAGTGAAGCGAGCACTGAGATTCAAGTATGAAATATGACTAGAAAAAAGAAGCAAGCACTAAAAAAGCTCATAAATATCTATATTAGGTAAATAATACTTTACATATACATGCATGACCAAGCTGGGATTCTAAATTCTCTTTGACTGACATCAGTGACTAGGACCAGGTGGTGGTTACCTGTATGCAGTGGGAGGATGCGCTTTGAGTTGATGTTGTGGGGAGGCACAGCCAACGAAAGGTTGATAGAAGCCCTCGGAAGAAAGTTGGTCTGAAAACCTCACTGAATCAAGGACACCAGTCCTAATTCAAATATAAACAGCATGTTCTACACGGTTCGGGAGTGTACTGGAAGTTTGCTTTTAAGTGGGAGTGTTGACTTGAAGCAAATGGGATTCCGATTAGCCAAGGGCCATGGGAAAGTACAAAGCCCTCTTGGTAATAGTGAATGATAATCTTATAGTCACCACTCCTGGCTCCAGGTGGCCAGGCCTGTCTAAACATCTCTCTGCAAGCTCAGACTCTTGAGCTGGGCTTCACACGCTTACAGGAGAGCTAATGGCAGGGGTTGGGGGGGGGGGTCACCTGTGGATAATTGTAATCCAGACTCCAGCAAGGCCTCCCTGCCCCTCCTGCCTCTCCAGCTCAGGGTCTGTCCTGCCTCTGTTTTGCCTGCATCATCCAGGACAGTGCTCAACCCCTTCATCACCTTCTACCCCGTAAAACTGGTAGCCCATTTGCACCAAGCTTGGCCTAAAGTTATCCCCTTGAGTAAATATTAAAGTATGTAGGGCAAGAACTGACTTCCACACCCACTCCTTCCCTCATTCTCCTCCCCTCCCCTCTCAGGAGGAATATGGACCTCTTCTGGTCCCTCTGACTTCAGCAACAACCTTCAGCACTTGGTCATGTCCATGGGGTCTTACCCTCCCTCCCAAGAGGCAGGGCAAAACATTTCTTTCCACATATACAGTATTTTCTCCGAGAAGAAGCCTGAGAAATAAGATTTCTCCACCTCATTACACAACCATGACTGGGAGATCTGACAAGGGTAAAGGTTTTTTGGAAGCCCAGAGATCTGACTGATTTTATACAAAAACTGGGGGCATGAGAAGAAGTTCATCCACCAAGAGCCTGAGAAACTTGAGTCTGGGCCACTACTGCTTTAAATTGCTGGTCAGAAGCTTGTGCTGTCAGGGTACTTTGCTTAGTATTACGTAACAACTTAAACCTAAATGGGAAAAGAGTTTGAAGAAGAATAGATATGTGCATAGCTGAATCACTTTGCTGTGTACCTGAAACTTAACAGCAGTATTAACCAACTATACTCCAATTTAAAATAAAAAGTTTTAAAAAAAAGAAATGGAGTAGCCCTATGTTTCTGTGTTTCTCTTTGGCAGGTTGCATTTTACTCAAGTTTCATTGTAGTCCAGGGTAAGGGCCTGATTTCTTCATGTGAAATCCAGGGATGCCAGAATATTCTCTCATTTGAACACAAGGGTCACTTCACTGCTTCCTGTTGTGCCTTCATCTTTTGACAATTTAGATTCTGCCCAGGAATTAGCTCTTCTGTCAAAAATCCTTCCTGACTGCCATTTATTACCCTTTTCAGACTTTTGTGGTGTTCCCGGTCACTGATGGGACTGAGGCAGCACGGGAAGTGGCCTGTCATTTCTGACCCCCCATTGCTGGTGGAGGCATCGACAGTCAACAGTCACTCAGAATCACCTCCTCCCTCTCCTTTGCCCACTCCTGGCTCCTCGTGCCCTCCTCTATCATCTTTTCCTTTAAAGCAGTTAAAAGCAAGGGGAAATTTTTTTACCACAACAAAGTTCACTTCTAACACTCACACTGTTACAGGGGTTTAGAGATTACTCATAACATTGAGAATTTGTCTAACACAGAAACTTGCAGACTGAACAATTTGGCATGTACAGGGCCAAACCATTTGAGACAAACCATATAGGACAAGCTTTCTACTTATCTGTAGAAGCTTTCAACTTATCTCTCAATGGGATCATCATTATAATAGCTAATGTGTGCATTTGTGTGTGCTAAGTCACTTCAGTCATGTCCAGCTCCGTGTGGCCTTATGGACTATAGCCCACCAGACTCCTCAGTCCATGGGATTCTCCAGGCAAGAATACTGGAGTGGGTTGCCATGCCCTCCTCCAGGGGATCTTCCTGATCCAGGGATTGAACTCAGGTCTCTTATGTCTCCTGCGTCGGCAGGCAGGTTCTTTACCACTAGGGCCATCTGGGAAGCCCAGCTAATATGTATTAAGTGATTATAATATTTACATTAACTATCTCATTCCTGAGATGGGATTGTTATTATCCCCAATTTATAGAAAGGGAGACTGAGGTTTAGAGAGAATAGGTGACTTGCTTTAAGGTTGCATATCCAGGACACTTTTAGGGTCAGAAGTCCCACCCTGGTGGTCTGGTTCCAAAAAGCACTCAGTCTCAGAGCTGCACTGACATTGGAGGTTGGTGTCCAAAGACTGGCCTTCTTGTAAAGAAAGCACAGATGGAATTCCTCTTTCGGAAGTGATAGTCTCCAGATTTGAATGACTGTATTGAAAGTAGCAGAATTTCCCGTCCCCATCTTCTGCCAAAACTCCTCTCTACAGATTTAGCCGCTGCTCCCCCGCTGAATGTTTAAACTCGCATTCTCTGTCCGGCAGCCAGAATGCCTTCTTCCCTACACGTTCATTCTCTTGCAGTTGCCATTCCCTCTGCCAGAAACGCTCCTCCCCCAGTGGCTTGCAGAGCTGGCTCCTTCCGTGTAGACTCAAATACCCCCTCTGCACATACCTTTGTGGTCAGGTGGTTTGCAGTAAGGCATTACTACAAGGAGATGGAGAGGACGCGGGGTTGGGGCAGGGACTGGTTTTAGTCCTGGACTACTAGAGCCATGGAGGACTGAGAGAGAGGTCTTTAATTCACAAATGCTATAGATTTTTCTTTGAAGTGTCTCATTTTGAAGGCAATCCCCTTACCTGGCCCCAATCCTGAGATGCTGCCACAGCCCTGGCACAGGCTCACCTGCTCAGATGCCCTCGATCCAGGCCATTTCCAGCCTCAAATTCAACAGTGAGTCCCACTTTTCTCCACGTGGGTCAACCTCTCTAGTGCTTCGGGGTCATCCTTAACTGACCCTCCTGCATCTCCCATTGATTTCCTTACATTGCACCACACAGGGCCTCTCCTCCAGTCAGGCTGGCTCCTCAGTCTTGGGGTGAGCTAAGTATAGCCCCTGTGCTTTTACAGTTTCTGTGCTTCTGCTATGAGTCCTGGGCCCTCTTTTTACCTACACACCCCCCTTGGATTTGTTGATGTTCAGTTACTAAGTCATGTCTGACTCTTTGTGACCCCAAGGACTGCAGCACTGTCAGGCTTCCCTGTCCTATACTGTCTCCCAGAGTTTGCTCAAACTCATATCCATTGAGTTGGTGATGCCATCCAACCACCTGATCCTCTGTCACTGCTTCTCCTCCTGCCTTCAATCTTTCCCAGCACTAGGGTCTTTTCCAACGAGTCAGCTTTTCACATCAGGTGGCCAATGTATTGGAGCTTCAGCTTCAGCATCAGTCCTTCCAATGAACATTCAGGGTTGATTCCCTTTAGGATTGATTGGTTTGATCTTCTTGCTGTCCAAGGGACTCTCAAGAGTCTTCTCCAGCACCGCAGTTCAAAAGGATCAATTCTTTGGTGCTCAGCCTGTTTTACGGTCCAGCTCTCACATCCATACATGACTACTGGAAAAACCATAGCTTTGACTATACAGACTTTGTCAGCAAAGTGATATATCTGTTTTTTAATATGCTGTCTAGGTTTGTCATCAGTTTGGATAAACTCATTCAATTCATAACTTTAAATACTCTTGACAGCAACTTTCATATTTGCTCAAACTCATGTCCAAGCTCCAGGAGTTAGTGATGGACAGGGAAGCCTGATGTGCTGCAGTCCATGGGGTCACAAAGAGTCGGACACGACTGAGCAACTGAACTGACTGACTGACTGAGGTTTGTCATAGCTTGGGATAATCTCATTCAATTCATAACTTTAAAAACTCTTGACAGCAACTTTTGTATTTGTGTCTGCAGCTCCTCCTCTTTTCCCAAATCCAAATTCATGTCTATCTGCCCACTTTGATATCCAGTCAGCATGCTAAATTTGACAAGTCCAAACTGAACTATTGATTTTCCCACCCTCCCTAAACATACTTGTCCTCCAGCCCACCCCATCTGATGGTGGCAAGCA